GTTATAAAAACTAATATAATATAACACATGTAAGTCATAAGTAACACATATCATTCTAAAATATTTAGTAATATATTTTTTTTTTGTAAAAAAGTAAACTAAATTTAATATGATTTTCTCTTTAATTTTAAAATTTAAGAATAATTTTTTAACAAGCACTCGTGTAACACACGGGTGTTATACTAGTTATTAATAAATCAATATTATTTGTTCAAACCTAATTACGAAGCATGATTCTTCGCCAAGTAGGATTACGAAGCACCAGAAGCAGCCACGTAGGCTCAGCGCATTCGTAAATTATATATAGGAGGATGTAATTTGGTAAAATCTAGCTTAGGGGTATATAAGTGAATTTCATGATTATAAATGAAGCTTAAAATTAACTAAAAAACTAGCTGATACATAAATTGAATCGATGTCACCCATATGAGTGACACTCATATGACAAAATGCATGTCTCATTTGATTTAAATAACTTAAAAAAATTATAAGGGAAAGTAAAAAATGTGACATGTAACATGCATTTTGAAATATTAATAAGGATTTAATAAAGTTTGAGGTATCATATGATGAAATTAAATATATTGTTGGAAGATCGAGTAGAGTACTTCACAATTATATATGATTAGTTGAACTTCACACCTATAGGTGCGCGTAGAAAAGCGGTTGAAGATGGTGGCCGCCGCTAGCTAGCAGCGACAAAATGGTTGGATCTTCATATCTTATATGCTTTAAATTTAATAGATTGTATTTTTTTTCATTATTTTTAGTTTTACGTACATGATTCTGAAACTAAATACAATTCTTGTTATGAATTAAAATAAATTATAATCTATATATATATAAAAAGATTTACCATTTTTTAAAAATGGCAGGTCAATTTTTGTCAAACCTCTTTCTTCATTAATTATTTACTATTAATGGCAACTTCTTTTCCTTTTTTTTTTCACGTTCAGCTATTAAATGCCCACAAAATGCGGGAGATTTTTAGTAATTAATTTCGTATAAACATTCCCAGAAAATGTGGCTCAATTTCATTAATCATTTTGCCAGTAACACGATTTTGTTTTCCTGTAAAGAATCCCAATTTTAAGGGAAATATAAAATTATATTTTTTTTCTTAATTAGCTCTATTTTTATGTTTTAAAAAAATTAAAAATTATATTGTTTCCATCTGTTGGGACTCTTTTAAAGAGTTTTATATTCTAGATATCTAAACAAAATTAGAGTTATAATTTGACATAACCTCTATTTGTTGTAAACAAATCCAATTTATATGGAATTCTAAAATTAAACGTACTTTGTAATCAACTATGATTTTTATAACCGTTTTTTTATGTTTAATTAAATTTAAAATTATATTGTTTCCAAGTGTTGGGATTTTTTTTTCAGTTTTGGCGTGTTTTTTTAATTGTGAAAATCTCTACATATCAGTTATTATAAGATGTAGTGGTTGGAAACAACCAACTTATATGGAATTATAAAAATTAAACATATCATTTATGATATGTAGATCGATAATTTATATGTTTAATTCAAATAATAATTACACGGTTTCCAACTCTTGGACTCTTTATTGTTTTCAGATTTTAATAATGTACATATTCTTATAAATACGGCTCTTCTAAATTCATTCTCATCTACAGATTTGCAAAAACGTTTTCCATTCGGCTTTACCCAAATTCTTCTTGCATTGCCTTAAAAAAACGGCCATCGGCACTGAAATCTCGAATAATATATTAAAGCAAGCTCCTTGCTTGCGAAAAATTATGATTTGGCAATGCATTTATCCTGAAAATTTAATTTAGAAAATCACATTTTTCTAATTGTTGTGCACCTGTCCAATAAACTAAATTTAGCGTTATTATATTCTCTGTATTTTTTACATTTATATTGCACATGTTAAAATCTAAATGCATATTTATCATCAAATCCTATGAGCTTATGTCCAATGATGACTAACATGATATATTTGATGATAAATATTCTCTGTATCTTCATAAAATAGGAATGAAAAAGTTAAACTTGGAATAAAATATAATTTATAATATAGTTAGAAATTAGAAAAGTTGTCCAAGCGTGGGGGCATTCTTTTTGCGACAACAATCAACATCTGCAACACAAGAGAGAAGCCCAACAAGGGAGCCCAGTTGAGTGAAGCCCAATTTCCGCAGCTTTTTGTGCAGCCCGCGTCCGGCCCGAGGCAGCGTGTGCTCACAACGAGTTACCCAATAATCAAACTCATGTGTTGTATACAAAAAGGTTTTTAATAATATAAGATTTTTTAGTGACGAACATTTTATGATGAATAATGTTCGTATGTATTAAACTCTCATATATCCTAATGCATGTCAAATTATAATATTCTCCAAATTTATATAACCGTGCATCGCACGGGATACATACTAGTTAATATTAAAGTAATGATACAATAGGTGTTTCACATGTATGAAGTATACGGGCCAAATCAATATACCTTTTTTTTACTTGTACATTAAATATAAGGCAAAGTAAGGACTTGTGGTGGTTGTCATCATCTTAAATTTAAAGCAAATGTTGTTTACTAAAGATAATCTAAAAAGTCACAATTATATAAACTTGATATAGATATTCTTACACAAAACAAGTATATACCAAATCTCACGACAAATCCGAACTTCATTTTAAGATTTGATAAGAATTTCACAAAAATAACAAAATCTTATAAAATATTAAAACGGTCACACAAAATCTCAAATGAATACACTCTCAATAAAGAAGGGACACACACACACACACGCACATATAT